TGGAAAGGGCGAGGCGTGCGATGGTGGGCGCGACTGGGGAGCACACGCGCAAGACCCAATCCGCGAAGGACTAGGAGAGCTCGAGGGGCGGCGCACGGATGACGCATGCGACGCAATGCGCGAGGGGCGGTCATGAGGCGGCCGAGAGTTTTAGCATGTGGGAATTTTAGGGAGCTTCTAGATTTGCTTGGTGTGCAAGCCAAGCAATAGTTATTTGGTAGGTTTAGGATTTTATTGCTTTCTAGACTTAGGATTTAATATTTAATTGTTTTATTAATTTCCTAGTAAGAATAGATCTAGAGATAGTTGGTATCTATAAATACCCATGTACCTCATCATCATTAGACATGTTGAATGAAGTATTGAATTGGTGAGCCAATCTTGAGGGGGAACTGTTGTTCTTAACGTGTGATAAACAAGGCCGTCAGTGCGTGTTTACATACAGTGTCGGATAGAAGGCCATTAGTGCGTCTTGAAGTCACGGTGTCTAGGAGAAGGCCGCAGTGCGTCTGTTAGACACGTCTATCGTGAATAAACGAAGGCCCAGAGCGCGTTTATTCACAACCATCGTATAGGTAAGAACACGATCCGTCATCAGGGTGCTGCGCTAGTGTCGCGGCTGGGACCTGGGCATCGCCTGGACTACTGCGGCTGGACTCGGTGGTCGTCGGGGCTGCTGCGACTGGTCGCGGCAATTCACTTGGCTTCCGGTGATTTGATGATTTGCAGGAACATTTTTTTGATGACGATATATAGATGCGGGAATCTCGAATATATTGGACCTTAAAACCTTATAACGTATGATCTTATAATCCTACTTCGGAAAAAGTTGGTGCGGCGAAGCAAAACTCCCGAATTCCCATTATATGTGAAACCTCGATTTTTTTCTCCTCTTGAAGACTAAAAATCGGACCTATCACGCGTATGTAAAGAAGTTGGGACTTGGTTCACCACATTAGGAACCTTAAGAGGTGCTAAATATAAGTTTCTCCAAATAGGGTTAGGAAACCTAATATCTTCCAACTATTTTCTTCTAGAGGTTCTAATCTCTTCCAACTTAATTGTCCTTGTAAAAGACTTCCATGTCATCCAACCTCGGTAATATTCTAGAAAAAATTAAATTCTCATACTTAGGAAAATTCTAAAAGATAATTTAATTCTTTCTCCTATTTGAATAAATAATAAGACATTTCAATAGAGTAATATTATTGATCTCCCCATTTAGATCTAATTAAACCCCCTAAGTAATTAATTATTTTATTTATTAATTTACCTTCACTATCGTCTATTGGTTAATTTAATTACTGACAATACAATTAATAAATTTCTTTTATCTCTTGAATTTGATATTACTAACACTCAATTATTTAATCTTTATGATTGAACTTATTGCATTACTTAATATAATATTCTTTTCTAAGCTCATTTCGGAAACGTCATCAACCCAGCGGATCGGGACATAGTGACCGTAAATAATTTTAACAGCACATCATATAAGCCTTATTATTTACCAAAATACCGAGTATGTCATTCTAACAAAATAAAAATCACATTTGGTGAATCAAATATAAGTGATGAGTACATATGCCCGTTTATTATCTTACGGCTTAAGAGAACGAATCAATTACTAAGGTCTAGATTATTTATTTCGTCAGAATTCAAATAATCATTCTCTTCCCGAGGACTAAATTAATTACTTCGTTAGTATTCAAATAATTATCTCCTTAGTGGTCCATTCAATACTTACAAAATACTAGTGTCAAAGATCAACTGAATCAAGAATTGCACTACAATCTTTTACCAAGAGGTTATTCAATTATGTCTAGATTGTGAAATAATTATTTATATTTTACAAAGAACTGATAAATATGATCCTTCTATTCGACACATCGAACCATTTTATTTGCAGCGTAAATAAATGAGCTTATGCTCGCATAAATAAATAAACCGCAAACATGCATACTTGATCAAAAAATGATTGTCATTCAAAATGGTATTGTCAGAAACTAAAAACTCAGCTTTTACAATATACCTTAACAATAGAGGCTCGAACTGAGCTCAAGTATCAAGAATGCGACTCTTTTACATCTTCGACAAGAAGAAAAAAAAAAAGAAATAACAGGATGTATGAATTTCAACTTATAGAATGTAGAAAAGGTTTATTAAAATCATAACATGTCAAACAATATGATCTTCCACAGTGTATACTATAACTACATCTATACAACAAATAAATTAATAAATAACACTAACATGCCAAAATTCACAATCTAGCTTCTTGTGATTCCAATCTTCTTCTGCAAATACCACAGAATTTGAGGGGTACATACCCTTTGCTTATTTACAGAATCTATGCACAATCTTGCAACATTTAGGAGGCCATTAAGTTCCTTCCGGTCGTAAGTATTTCCAAGATCGGGATCGATCATCTTATTAATCGATCTCAGGAAATTCGGTTCTTTAACCCACTCGATTAAATCCAACCCACCCTTTTCGGAGGACTGACCCGTAACGAGCTCCAAAATCACCAATCCAAGTTGGAAAATCATGTTTTTGCACCCTTCGTCCGTGCATACTGCAATTGCAAGAAGATCATTAAACATGGTCATAAATAGGAAAACCAGTGTTTGTATAAAAGAAAATACCCAGTTAAGGATTTCTTGCTAATAGACTCAAATTCAATGGCTTCTTTTATTTTTCTTTTTTTTTTGGTAATTAACGTTTAAAAAGCAACAAGCATGAAGTTGGCAAAATTGTACCTCTCGAACAACGAGAAGAGCTTGGCAGCAAAACACGAGTTCCAGCCTTGCTAAACAGGCTAATATCTGAAATCTGCAGGAAGAAATGGAACGTTTGCCTTCACTGATAATTGCAAAAATCACTCCTCAATTTCCAAAAGAAAAAAGATTTTCAAAACTAAAGACTTCATAGTTATCCGTTTCTTCTTTGTAGGCTTCAACATTTTAAGATAAATCCACATAGCTTACCTTTGGGATTAGACTTTGATCCAACATGATTGTGCTTGAACTTATGGAGACATGATATATTGGCGGATCACAAAAGAAATGCAAATATTCCTGCATTATGATTGCTCGCCTGATCAGAAGTCGAGCGTGAGAAGCACATATACGTAAAATATAGAACTTTTAAGACTAACCACTGCAGCAGATATGCCGATTGCTATTTGTAGTCTCGTTCTCCAGTTCAACGGAGTTTTTAGAGGATCTAAAAAAAATGAATAATATCAGCGAAAAAAAAAAAAGAAAAAACCAATTAGACAATCGAAAAGCATTATATTCGATTGCCGATATTTACCAGAAAGATGATCTTTCAAGCTTCCATTTTCCGTGTTCTCAAACACTAGGAATCTGAGAAGCACAAAGAAGGCTAAAAATAAGTTAAGCAATACATTTCAATAAGAAAAATACAATTAACACCACAAGATATGATATGATGTTCACATAAGTACATTATCATTAAGCAGGCCAAACAAATATGCTTATTTTCCCCTACTTATTTATACACTGAACTTATACAAAATAAAAAAAAGGGGGGATTCTTTGTGATTGGATAAAAAAAAGTTTCGCTTCAATTTTCATCCAACTCAAAATCTAACTCAACTCCACTATCCTCAATATTATCAATATAGTTAAATAACACCATCCAATCATTCTTACACATCACATCTACTTTAATTACCATACTCATCCACTCACATTATCATATTTCTCATACTTTTACATCAAATCAACTTTAATTATATTATTTTAAGTATTATTTTAACATAAACTCAAATTCTCACTAACAACTAACCATACCACATATCTAAATGAAAAAAAAAAAATCGTCCTTTAACTGAAGCCCGTTTTCATTTTGGTCCGTAAATGGAACGTTTTTGGAAATCATCCCCTAACTTAAAAAAAAAATAGTTTTTTGATCCTCTGACTGCCTACAGCACGTCAGAGTGACCGGATGAGCCTACGTGCAAAATAGCCCGCCTACGTGGACCACATTTTTCCAATCACGCCCTTAGTATTTAAACATGGTAAAGATCAAAATATTATAAATCAAGAACATAAGGCCAAAGAATGCACAATCAACAAGCGACGATACAAAGTAGTACCGCTTAGGACCATCGGAAAACCCACACAGGGCAGCAATGTGGCGGTGATGCAATCGGCCCAAGAATTGTACTTCCCTATAGAACAAGTCAAGATCCTCACGGACCGAAAGTTTGACTTCTTTGACTATGGCCACACGGCCATTTCGGAACTTGGCCTCGTAAGTAGCTCCTCTAGAGGAGCTCTCAACGACTCTTCTGAATCCACCGGTGGCCCTCTTTATATCATTGTACGAGAAGCATTTCACATTATACGGCGGCCCTTTAAGTTTTAATCGAAAAATGCAACTAATCAGTCGAAAAGTAAGAGATATGCACACATAATTTATACTTGGTTCCTCTGTTTAAGATATGCTATTATGATGATGCATAGCAAAGTAAAGTTCTTATAATCTCAAGAACAAAATTCGGATAATTGAGCTACATCTCTAAGATCTCACACCAATTCCCATCAGTATCTCCAGAAAATATACAATTTAGATTAACCCACAAAAAAAAAAAGGAAGAAAAAGGGAAATTAAGATCCATGAAAGCAATAACCTCACCGGGTCGGGATCGGAGGTGAAACCAAGCAAGACACGGCAGCCTCATCTTGAGGATCAAATTCTCGTCGCCCATTTTTCTATATCGATTTGAAAACAATAAATCATACTATGTATGGAATATGGTAGCTCGTAGAGCTGTAAACGAATCGAACCGAATCGAGATTGAGCTGTTAGGTACCTAGCACCTAGTAGCTGGTAGGTACATTTTAAAGGGAATCCTTTGTTAAGAGGTTAGACAACGGTGCGAAGAATTTATTCAGTGCCAAACTGATCCGAATATTTTTCTTTTAACCGCATAAAGCAAGAAATATGTACCGACAATATAATTTACCGATGTGCTCACCATAGAGTAAAAGGCTCGCATCCTTCTGATTTCTGGTATGACAAAATTTTATACTTCAAAATTACTTTGTGTATCTATATATTAGTAATATGTAGCCTCTGCTATTTAACAGAGTAAAACACCTCCGACGGTTGAATTCGTCCTGATCTCGAGTTTCTTGTCGGTTGAATACATTCGGACCTACAAAAATTCTCACACCAGAAGGGTTTCCGGTGAAAAGTCTTTGATTCCATTGTGACATTGATAAAGTGGTGTATCTAAATGTATGTAGAGAGTGTAATGTGATAATGAGCATATCTCACTCTCTTATATAGAGAGATGATACCGTGTTGCCCAAAGTTGCCCGAGTGAGCTGCTCGAGCTGCCCAATAGTATCGCTGGAACTACCCGAATTGCCCAATTTCACGCGTGTCTCTTATCTTTTTAAGGTTCCTTCTTATCTCTTAGTCTTTTGTATTAGTCAAGGTCGGCTGAGATAGAATGTTGCATATTCTAGGCCTAAGTGTTGTACTTTCTGGTCGATCACACGACCAACCATGCTACAGGTCGAGTTTCCTGCAGGTCATCTGAGGTCCTAACTCGACCTGCCGTTGTCCCTCTGAACTCCTCTCACTCCTTTCGACCTGAAGATGCCTTGTCGACATTCGACCTCCATGTTGCTTTGTTTCCACCACCTGGTTCATTAAACCCGATTGATAGGTTCATTGTGTTTCTCTTCCTAGTATGATATCTCATATCATCTAGTCCTTCCACTCTGGTCGAGTTGGGATAACTCGACCTAGGAGTAGATTTGTGTCCTTGCTTTTGTTTGATGGCTTCTAACTTTTTTGCTTATGTTTCGACCACCCACTTCATTCATTGATGAAAAAACACAAAAATTGAATTGCTCAATATCTAACCTATGAAAATATAAAATAACTCTCGTAAAATTTCAAGAACTATCTTAAACAATCAACTTAGTACTAATCGTAAATGCGACAACTAAACTCTGGGACTTCGTGATGCAATCTCCAAGTAGGTAATGCGTCTTCAACTTCCATATGTTGAACGTCCTTCCATATGGAGTCAACTTCCTTCCAGATTAGATCCACTTATTTGTTCTGAGATCTTCAAAATTATCGTTCAATAAATGTGCAGCAACAATGTTTCTCAGTTTGATGATTTCAGAATCTTGGTCGAAACCTTCATCAATATCCTTATGTCTTGATTTTGATCTTCTCCATAATATATGCATGGTCTTCATGCGAGTGATTAGCTCATCCTTCTTTAAATTAGACTTAATATAGATAAGAGGACATCTATATATATAATTGCTAGCAAAACAATTAATAAAAACTCATTTATTTTTTTCTCCAAAAGAAGTTACAAACACATGTTTACTTTATTATCTTTTTTTCTAATTAAAATCTTGACAACTCACTAATCAATGAATGTTTGATCTATATATATAATTGTTAACAAAAAAAATAATAAAAATATTTGATTTTTTTCACATTTTTCCGTTACAATCAAATATATTTATTTTAAAGATAACTAAAACTTAACCAATGACTTTTTTAATAATGATTAATTAAAATAATCATGTTTTTAAATTATTTTATTATACAATAGTTATTATGGTAGCTAACCAATTATAATTTACACTAAATGATATATAGAAGTTCAATAAATATAAAATATTTTACTGTAATTTTTTTTCTTAAAATATTTATTACTGTTAAGAAATTTTTTAATAAAGCTAATTGGCTTCAGTGGTATAGAGAATCCTCTTAAATTATAATAATAATAATTGATATAGCCCTATTGTCATGGTCCGGTTCAGCTAGAGATTGCTCGACTGAAGGCTGCAGACGACCCCACTAAGTCGAGATAAACGATGTCGACTCGGCCCATCAGCTATTTAAAAGCCGTCGAACCGGTCATGGTACCTAGTCGACTTCATAAAGTTGACCGGATACAAGACGACTTCATCCATGATGACGAGCAGGCGTTCTCATAACCCTCGGATATTCGTATAACTTCAGATCGACTCGATAAGGTTATAAGTCGACTTATAAGGACCTCCGACGACTCGATGAGCTGATGCGACACATGGAAGGCTCCTAAGCACAAGTTTATACAGGATAAGAAGGAATCTAGATGCTGACTCAAGAGTAAGCAGAATATGAACCGACCAGGGCATTTTGGGTACTTCATGTAAGTCGGCCAGGGCATTTTTGGGACTTCAAAGTAAGTGTTTCTACTCCTATATAAAGGAACTGAGGTAACCCTAAACCCTAACTATTATTCTCATTCAACACTCAGCTGCTGCTCCCCCGGAGCAGAGTTTCTTCTCTCTTCATTCACTGACTTGAGCGTCGGAGGCTCTT